TCTTTCTAAAGCTGAATGTTCATGAGAGAGTATACTCTGTATCGTGGTAGACTTTGAACCTTGGAAATTGATCAGTTAAATTTGCTTGAATCTGGAATAGTCCTTTGGATTATAAACTATGTTTCAAGCTTTCTCTTCCCCAAACAGATCAAAGTTCAATGGTATAATTTGGATCATGTAAGTGGTAAGGAATAAGTAACTATGCTTGGCTCAAAAAGCCATATTTATTCTCCTTTTCTTGGGCTAAATCAGGGGTAGGCAACCTTGGCTCTTTTATGACTCGTGGACTTCAACTCCCAGAATTCCTGAGCCAGCCATGCTGGCTCAGGAATTCTGGGAGTTGAAGTCCACGAGTCATAAAAGAGCCAAGGTTGCCTACCCCTGGGCTAAATAGATAAAACATGAAGGACAGAAGTCTCTGAATCAAATTGGAAAGAGCTGGAATACTTGGAGAAGGTAAATACAAGTGATAACATGGAAGCCCGGAGAAAGGGGAGGCGACCAACCCATTCCTTAGCATTCTCTCCCTGCCCCATTTCTGTAGGCATTGCAAATTGCAGAAGAGAGCTTCTTTGATCTCAAGGAGAAATGGAATGGAATGTCCTCCCCTTTTTGCTTCTGCTGCTGTATCCTCCCTCCTCCTGCAGGCTGGGAGTGTGAAATCACAGGAATTGCAAAGGCAGAAGAATGTTGGCATCGAGGTCAGAAAACATGTCTCTTAGGGAGTGGGAGAGGAAGAGGAAAGCTAAGGCAAATCAGAAGAAAATGGGAGATTTCAGGGCTTTGTTTACTCGCCTACCTGGCTTTCCAGAAGAGCAAGCAAGGAAATAACAAGCAGAAAGACATCCTAATAAAATGTCATGGTGCTCATCCAAATGGTGCTCATCCAAATGTTTCAAAAGGTAGCACAATTCTGGAACTACCTGCACCTGTGGAGATCGCAATTGCCTGCTAGGGTTGTACAAAGCATTAAAAAAAAGAGACACTTTGCAGAGCAGAGAAGCACAAACGAAGCATCTCGAAGGCTCCAGCGGTCGGTCCCTTTGAAAGCAGCTTCTGTTTTAGTTAAACAAAGCAGCTGTGCCAGACACTTTTTTTGAATGATTTGGGCAGTTTTCCCCCCCAAAGGTCAAGGCTTGTGCAGCTTGAGAAAAGAGGAAGGAACTCTGAAGGGCCGAAAGGTTATTTTAAATACATAACCTGGATTGAGCAGAGATAAGATTAAGTTTTGGTAGATTTGATGAAGGAACTCTACCCTAAACCTAGGAAAGCTCAGGTATGCAGAATGCTGCTCTTCAGAAAAACTGGAAAAGATACTGCTGGAAATTTGCTCAAGTTTTAAAACTTTAACCAATACTGCCATAAAAGTGTGCTATGTTTGTAGGAATCCTGAGTGAATTGGGTAATTACACAGGTTGATTTGGCGCCAGGCCTTTGTTGCTTTTAGTTTTTTAATCTGTTTATAGTTTTAATATGATTTTATATGTTGTTTTAACTTTTGATTAGGAGCCACCCAGAATGGGGAGTTTCTTACTAATACATGTTAAATTCCTTTCTCTCTACCTCGTTTTTCTAGCCATTGATAAAAGGTACCCCATGTTCTAAAACAGTGGTTCCCAACCTTTTTAATGCCGCAACCCCCAACCAGTCGTAAGTCGAGGACTAAACCGGTCGTAAGTCGAGGACTACCCAACCGGTCGTAAGTCGAGGACTTTCCCTGCCCGGGAGCGCCGCGCATGCGTGGTTCCGCACCCTGCGCCGGCCGAGGCGCAGAGAAGAAGCAGGCCGACCACCAGCTGGCCCAGCCCAAGGGAGGTAAGGCACCCACCGGAAAAGGGGAAAAAAATGGCGGACAAAAAAATGGCGGACAGCCTTGCTTGGTGACCCCCGTGAAATGGTCGATCGACCCCAAATGGGGTCGCGACCCATAAGTTGAGAACCGCTGTTCTAAAATATACTGAATCTTCTTTCTCTTTCATTTTCAATGTCAATCTATCCATTTCTGCACAATCTAAATTTTTTTTTAATTAACTCTTCTTCCGTTGGTAAGAAGACATTTTTCCAATGTTGAGCGAATACAATTCTCTCTGCAGTTAATCCATGTAAAATTAGATATATACACTCTTTCTCATAATTTCCTACAATTATGCCTAACAAAAATAATTCTGGCTTAAAATCTATATGTTTTTTTAGTCATTTTCTCTAACCATATGTATATTCTTGACCAGAATCTTTTGGCTTTGGGGCACGTCCACCAAAGATGGAACCCAGACAATATGTTGCTGATAAAATATTAAGCCTTTGTGATTATAAATTAATAAAAATAAAGAAGATGGGGAGTTTCTATATAAGACTGAAATAAATAGTGTCTGTAAATGACCAAAATTATTCATTGTGTATACACATGGCCTTTTGTTTTAAATAATACTGAGTTCTTTTTCCACTGATGCTGCATGAGAAACAGGGGTTGAAGAAACTGGGAATGGCAACCTCTTTTCACTGTCTGAGCTTCAGGGAGCAAATTTTATTAATTTTGTGCTCTCCAGTTATGAAGCAGAATTTTGTACCATCTCCAATGAATAGGAGCTGTCCTAGTATCATTGAACAGAAGTAGCTACAGTGAATAATAACAATAATAATAATAATAATAATAATAATAATAATAATAATAATAATAATAATAATAATAATAATAATAATAGTAATAATGTTGGAAGGGACCTTGGAGGTCATCAAGTCCAACCCCCTAGCTCAGGCAGGAAACCTTATACCATTTCGGACAAATGGCTGTCCAATTTCTTCTTTAAAACTTCCAGTGTTGGAGCATTCACCGCTTCTGGAGGCAGGTTGTTCCATTGGTTAATTGTTCTAACTGTCAGGAAGTTTCTCCTTAGTTCTAAGTTGCTTCTCTCCTTGATTAGTTTCCATCCGTTGCTTCTTGTCCTGCCTTCAGGCGCTTTCGAGAATAGCTTGACTCCCTCTTCTTCTGAAGATCTCTATGGTCTGATTTATCATCTTCTTTATGAAGCCTCCCAGCCTAGCGGCCTCTAAATGGGCTGGAATTTCTTGCTGATGTCAAGAGAGAGAGAGAGGTCAGATTTTATGGTGCTGGCTGAGTCTTCTTATATTTCTGGCTAAAGGCCATCTATGCCTATTTTTCTGTGGCAGCTGTGCTTGTGCTTCACATTAGAGACAAAGGAGACATTATTCTCCTGAAAAACTCAAATCAGTCTAAAAACCTTCCATTCCTTTCTTTCCCTTAATATCTCCTAGGTGCCACTCCATATGAGTAAACAGACTCTTCATTCAAACCTTAATATATCTTTTGATAATACGATTAATCAAAGATTTTAACCAACCTTTCCTAACTTTTATTCCTTCACCGCGGGATTTTCTATCAATCGTCTCTTGCAAAACAGGAAAGGGTATGAATACATAAAGAAGATGCAACATCTCTTTGGATTGGTAGAAAGGTTTGGATTTCTTTTTTGATATGGTAAATTACATAGTTAACATGTGGTCACTTGTAAGGGCATTAGTTTGAATTTATTTTATACCTGTTTATATTTCACCCAAAGAATCATCCTGAGTACAAGGTAAAAAAATAACATTTGAGGTTCTAGCCTCTCATGGAACTATAATTTCTATGTGCCATGCAATATGATGATGATGATGATGATGATGATGATGATGATGATGATAATAATAATAATAATAATAATAATGATGATGATGATGATGATGATGATGATGATGATGATGATGGTAATAAAGTTGGAAGGGACCTTGGAGGTCATCTAGTCCAACCACCTGCTCAGGCAGGAAACCCTATACCATTTCAAACAAATGGTTGTCCAGTCTCTTCTTAAAAACTTCCAGTGTTGGAGCATTCATATAAGTCTGCAGATATGCCTCAAGTATTTGAATCTTGGCAGAACCAATTTTATTCAGCAGTATCAAATGATCAGGGTCGATTATTGTTCCTGTGTCATACTCCACTATGGATATACACCTATCAAATGGCTGGGTTAAAACATCATGCCAAACTATAATGTGATTTGTTCGCTTTTGGCTTGTGGTACTTTGTGAACTCAGACATTATATTTTATAAATCAATTGTGATTTATATAATAAATATGGTTATATAAAGAATGAAATGATGCAATTTGCAAACCCAATCATTGTTATCTACCCAGTGTTCAAAACTAAGAGTCTTTTAAAAAGAAATGTTAGCCTTGGATTGCCCATACTTCAGCAACATTGTACAATCTTGTATAGATAAGATAATTAAAAGCTGAATGAACATTTATATTCATGTGATTTAACTATATTTGTTTTGCAAGTAAAATATTTTATTATAGAGGGAATCTTTCCCAATTAGTAAGCAAACTCAAGAAACATTTGAATGCTTTTTACACTATAACACATAATTTGAAGTTTTAGAAGCACTATCACCAAGGGCAGAATTGAAATTTTCATCTGAAAAATATGAATAGAGATACAGAGAGGATATCATATTCAGAGTCATGTGCTTTGTTGTGTCAGAATGTGTTTCAGTCAATAAGTCACCGAAAGAGAAAGACCCAGTAAAAACAGTCACAACCAAATTTTGATAAGCACCAAATTTAACTTTTAAGACATAGAAACACAGCAAAAAGCAATACAGTCACTGAGTAGCTGTGAAGCAGAAGCATTTTTAACTTTTTATTTTTAAAGGGTGGGAGGATGAAAGGGTTACAAGATCTTAAACTTTCCAATACTTCAGTTGTTCTGTGTTTATGTTATTTTGAATTTGTGCCCAATTATTGTTACATTCAAAGAACTGTCAAATTTACAAACTCATCTTTCTGAATTTTCAGGCCTGACCCATCCTCTTCCCTGCCATTCCCACTACACAATCATATAAAATCCAGGTTTCTTAAACTTTCATAAAACATTTGCAACACCTGACTTTGTAAAAGCCCAGTCTCTCCACACATTTTTTGGTTTATCTTCCTTTCTTGCCTTTCTTTAAAATTAGGGGATTAATAGTCTTGAGTCTATCAACTAGAGTCAACTTAAATAGTCTAAGGAGTAGAAAATTGGAACAGATTTTTTTTTAATTACTCTACTAGTCTCATCAAATTAAAAGGTCAACAGAAATGCACAATGGGTGTGTGAGCAAAGTGATCTAGTGGTATAGATTAAGCTACTATCAACTTTCTGTCTTGTTTTTTTTAGCACCGTTAATGTATATGTTTAGACCTATATTAGCACCTTGTCCCCGATAAAGAAAAAACACTCTTCAACTTGTTAAAATGGAAGAACACAACTTGTGCATACAGATGAAGAAGCTGCTAAATTTAGATGACAAGATCCTTGTCAATGTCCTCTGTAAAAAGAAAGAAAGGAAAACGTCACGTAAGAAAAATGCTTACTGTCACTATCTTACACAACATTTATGTGATTCAGTTGCCTTTCCTAGGATTTACATTTGCTGTTATCTAAAGAACAGTCTTTTCCAAACTGGTACCAACCCAATGGTTAATGCTCTCAAAATTCCTACCCACGGTGTTCAGAGTTGTAAAGAGATATCTGGAGGATATTAGCTTGGAGAATACCGCTATAAGCTATTTGGCTAATAGACTGCTGTTTTAGAAAGAGGGTTTTTAGAGCCATACTGAGGAATAGGAATGCTTGGCTAGTTAGAATACAGAAGAATGACTGGTTAAAAAATGTTGAGACTTTAGAAATTCTAAAGGTATATATGACTCAGTCTTACTATTAAAACTAAACAGTTTTAGCTAAGCAAGCTCCCTAATACGGTTACAGATAGTCTCATTTAGCAACCAGAACTGGGAATGGCAACTCGGCCATTAAGCGAAAGGGTTGGTTAGTGAAACTGTGACTTTGCTTATGATCTTACTTCAGCTTTCCTTTGTTTTAGAAATCTGTGAAGGTCATAAATATGAGGGCTGGTTGCAAAGTTACATTTTCATTACTGTCATAACCGCAAACAATCATTAGACAAATGAGGACTGCCTCTATAAGCCAATTATATATAAGGTATTCTGAATTTCTTGAAGGAAAGCTGGGATACAAATGAAGAAAAATGGTCTTTAAGAGCTTCAGTCAATTCCAGTTAGCTAATTCAGCTAATTAGTGATCACTAAAATCAGTGTTCATTAAGAGCATCATCACTTATTCCAGTTCATAAAGTTTCTCAGGTTGATATTCTATATACACTTATCTAGAGTAAGTTTTATAAGGCTGACACATTTACTGTTGAGCAAGTATGCTCAAAATTGCACTCTAGATCAGCAATTTTCTGGACAGCTAGTCTTCTAGAGATTTTAGAATTAAGGCCACTTCTCCTCTCTCCCTTTTTCAGTTGTGGTCAACATAGATTGCATTGCACTCATGTCAGAAGCACTGAGGCACTTCCTGATTGAAAAGATTAGCAAGTGACATCACCATTACTCAGGGGGATGACCCGTTGGGGACTCCTGTCAGGTCTCTGGCAGTAACTGGAACGAAGTATGGGAGCTCAACCCTGCCCCATAGCAGCACATGGGTCTCGAACGTAGGCTTGCTAACCTCCAACCCAGTGTCCTAATCATCTGAGGCACCATGCTCCTAAGTCAGCACAGATATGTGATACTTACTTTCCTTAATGCCAAAGCAGTTGGCCCATTCTTCCAGAGCAATGTATTTGTCGTTGTCTAGATCACATGTCTCAAAGAAGCGAGTGGTGCAGTGCTCCATAGGGATCAAGGGAGCTCTAAGTGGGGCCAGTTCAGTGTGGGACAGGTATCTGAAAGGAATATCAAAGTGGGCACAATTACCACAACTCCAAGAAGTCTCATAGACAAGGCACGCATGATGGTTGAAAGAATCCCCAGCATAATTTCATTGCATAAAATTACGGAGCAAGTAACCTGGGGCTGGAAAAGCATTTACGAAAAAGACAATGATTGCACCATTTTGCTTTACACTTCTACCTTATAATCTTTTTTTATTCGGGAGTTAGTTCCGAAACATTTTGAGCATGAGATTTGAGCAGATGATGGAGAATACACAACTGTATTCTTGGGAAGTGTTGGAGAGCAATCCTCCCAAGAGGGAGATTAGTCTGGGCAAGGTCTGATACCCCCCCCTCTCCCCATGCCTTTGACCCTTATTTACTCTTTCCCAGGTCAAAGTTACGAGTCTGGGAAGAATCCTGTGGAATAGGAATAGAACAATAAAGTAGCTTGTTTGAACTCTACAAGTGTGGGCCTGCTTGTTTGTACCTGACAGGAGGGCTTGGGACATAGAAGAAAGGAAGAATAATGAATAAGATAGAGAGGCAGGATCAGGGTTATATCCCTGAAATTCCTGTCAAAAGTTACCATCAAAGAAAACAAGGCTAAGATTTTCAACTCATGTTCCGCAACTTCTCTTCCATAAGAGATCTTAAAGTTTGCTATGTGTGTTAGGCTTACTGGATGCTTAACTAATCACTTTCCTTTTATTTCTCACTCAAAATGGGCAGTTTTGCAGCAACACTGAAAAAGGACCACAGTGAAACTGAAAATAATTCAGTATTGTGGGACAGCTTGAATAATCCTGAATAATGAGTGGCATTAAAAAAGTGGACTGAAATACAGGAAAGGAGAGTCAGTGTGGCATGGTGCTTAAAGTATTAAGGTACTAAGAAACCGAGGTTCAAGTCCATTTCTGGCTACAACTTGGATGACTAAGACTCTTGCCTCCCACTCTCATTGAGAGTTCAGTCCTAAGCAGATGTTTCTGTCTTAAGGCACAAAGAAAAATATCAGCTCCATCCAGTCGCCCAGATTCTACCTCAAATTAACAGAGTGGGGAGGGGGGCATAAAAAGGGGAAAAAACTGTCTATATCCCCTATTATCTTGCATCTTTCTTCTTTTATATGTTTCACTTAGAAACATTTTTAAAATGAAATACATCTCAGGATTTGAAAAAAAAATCCTATTTAATTATCCTGGAAATAAAAGCACTAATCAGTTATAATGAACAACGTCATTATTTGAGAGCAGTGTCTGATTTTTTTTAATAGTACCCCAACTCACTGATTAATTTTACCTGTTATCTTATTTGATTTCACCTGTAATCTCTAAACTAAACTGGAGTCTTGATTTCTGTATCCCAGGTGAATGTTTTAACCCCACCTTGCTAAAGGCTAAGCAATAGTAACCAAGGTCTAATTTTGTTAATGAGCTAATGGGGCTTGTCTATGCCAAGTTTCTCATAAGCCAAGAATAGCAGTATCTACCCATCCACAGGATGTTGGTCTAGCTGTCCAAATTGCCAGTGCACAGGGAAGATGTACATGTTGTAGTTCTTCTCAAAGTCACGGGCCAGGAGTTCTACTGGATGATCGCCAGCTTCGAGACGCTTCTCATTCTCGTGGAGCTTCTTCACCTAGTCAGCAAAATATATATATAGTGTGTGTGTGGAGAGATATTGACTGCGCCCCTTTGTAAGAAAGGCATCATAAACTATGGGGCTCTGCTTAGGGGTGGCTCTTGCTCACCTTGAGTTTCTGCTTCTCATTCAGCAGGTTGTTGTCCTCATCCCGCTCGTACAGGGTGACCAGCACGTTCTTCAGCCAGTCGCGCATACGCAGAGGGAATTCAGTCAGCTCAGTGTCAAGGCAGGCAGGAATGACTGAAATGCAATCAGAGCCCCATCAGTCCAGGCACTACTTATTAAAAATATAACCCAAGAGCTATTGTATTCAGCAGCAGACACACTGATTGGTGTTTTCCACTGTTCCCAATTAATAAATGGCAGAAAGGCTATTAGAGACCAGTTGCAATTCTGTGGTAGGGCAAAGATGCTACTGCTTTGTTCCCCCTACCTCTGCAGTTGATCACATTGTCGTTGTGATGTGCAGCATAATCCTTTTCCCACTTGTTTCTTCTACCCTCTATCACCCTTCCAACTCATTGCTCCCCTTCCCCAGCACAGTTGCAGAGTTGCACCATTTAACGGCCATTCTGGTCTATAGTTTTTTCCATGTCTATTAATGATGCTCCATAACTTCTACATTGCAGAGAGATTATCTTTTCAATTTTCTCCAGACATTATTTTCAGTATTCTGAACCAGTCTGAACTTTTGAAAGGTATTTTAGAGTTGAATTTAGTCACCTACAGTGATACTGATTAACCTGGTTTTTGCTTTAAAAAAGGTTTAAAGATTTCCCCTTTAACTAAAAGTCAAGGAATAGTAATAAGTAGGAGGTGGAATCTAACACTCCAAGTCAGAAATGTAGTATTGAAGTCCATTTAAATCTGAGCGATTCCTGGAATTCTTTTCATTTCATGGGATACAGATTTCCAAAGCTACCATTCCTTTCCTTCCCAAGAAAAACTGTTTGCTTTAGAGCAATGAAACCATCCTTCTCTTAGGTTAATTTTACTTTGGAGAGCCTGCCTGCCATGACCACCCAGATCCTAGTTAATGTTTCTTTTATCACACATAAGGGAAAAACCCTCAAATGTGATTTTGTTGGCATGTAATACTCATAATTGGTTAGGTTAACAAAGTTGCTTGAAAGCTGCTTTTACAAGATTCCCTCTGCGTCACTGATGACCTTTGAAGCCCCCCCCCCCTCTCTCTCTGTGTGTGTATTTAAATGACTTTCCCTTTTAGCCACCTATCAGAATAAATGGTTTACAAAGCATCAGACAATTGCACCTAAGTGCATATGATTAAAACCATGAATTGTATGTGTATGTGTGGGGAAGGGGAATGCTAAAAGTTTACTTGCTTTATTTGTAAAGGCAAATATTAATTCATGGAGTATTAGAGACTCTGGGGACAATACACTCACAGTTTGAAAGGGAATGACTAAGCACTGATGTGTTGGCATTGTCTGTGCTCAGCTACTGGCTGGTTGAGACTGAGCAATCTCAGTGGCTGAACATGCTCTCTAACTCCAAACTCACATATATATGGAACACACTAAGAGAAAGAGTTACACATCTGCAGACATTAAGAACAGGGAGACGTTGCAGGTTAACATTAAAGTATATTGAGGTTGATTAGCAAATAGGAAGATTGGTGATGTGGTCAATATCTCTGTGTTAGCTGTAGAGGCTGCTTCTTGATTTTAAACGAAAGCCATTGGTGCCAAAAGTAAAAAACATTCTACCAATGAACATCATGGTGAAAGCATCTTATTGTGCATGCTCTGTTCTGACCAGATGGAACTCCACTGGTCCTAAATTTTAATTGTGAAAATAGCCAGAAATGTCTGTGCCAAGGCTAAGTAAGGTTAGCAAAATATTTAGTGTCTAATAGTAGTGTTATAACAATCTGGAACACTATAGAGATAGACATATAGACAGCTATAATCACAATCGCTGCTGTGTACCAATTGTACAGGTAGACATACAAATATGGACAACGCACTGCATTTCTCCTTGTATTGTACAGTGGAAAAGCAGTGATTGGGTAGGGCTAGGCTCTGCCTGTCTCAAGTCTGCCCAAGTCTATTATATAACCTGACAATGAATTCAAATGGTTGAGATTGGGGAGAAGTTGAATGCCATGCTTTTAGGCTGACCAATGGACTCTGCTACTTGAACAAAGAGAGAGAAAAAACTCTTTCTGGCAATATGCACAATGACCTTTATAAAAATGAATGAATGGCGGGAGGGGGATAAGGCTTAACCTTTAGGAACTATCGCTGAATAAAATGAGCTAAGGAAACAAACTGTCACAATCAAAGAATAGATTAAGGTTAGATTTCAACATTGGATGATTTATCATTTTCCAACTGGCACAGAAAACCAGCAGGATACCCTTTATCCAAGCCACCCATGCACTCCGTGTTGATTATATATGGCCCCCATGTAGTTCCAAATTCCTTAGACTGCATGAATGTCAAGTCCCTAGATTCTGAAAATATGGTCAAATGGCATTCTTAAGAAGTTACTTTCTAATTGGACTTTTCCACTCTTTAGGACAATAACTCACCTTTGCAAGGTCCAATGTAATCCAGGTGAAGTTTGTGTCCTTTCTTGGTACCCTCCAAAGTACATTTGGTCGCAAAGAAGTGGCAGGAGGTGTCATAGGTCTTGTTGTCAGTACCACATACCTTTGTGAAAAAGATTATTGTGTTAGAAAAAGTGTCCAAATGGACCACGGTCTTTCTCCTACTCTATGACAACAAATCAACAAGTCTACTCAGATTAAACTTCAACCTGTCAAATTACATGACTCAAAATGCAATTGGGACTTTTTTTCAAGGACTAAGCTCACATTCCTGAATTCAAATAAAATGGAAAGTTCACTGATGTCACTGCATTTCCAAATGATGAATGGCCTTTCCAAAGAGTTGCATACTGTATAAATATTAAAAGAATATGAGGTTCAAGATAGACATTTGTGGTGGGCCACAAAACAAATCCCAAATGGTAGAGTTAAAGTCCCCCAATGTTGCCTTCTGTTATTTATCCAACACAGAGAGAACCACTGGTAAGTGCTGCCTCCCATTCTCATCTGCCTTCTGCAACCTATAAAGATGGAGTGATGATTAAAAATTGCAGATGTTCAGAAATGAACAGAATTATGTACTGCCAACCAAATTGGCCTCCATTCATAATCTTACCCTGCATGAGCCCAGATAAATCCTCCTACTCTGATCCCTTTTCCTCCAAAGTTAAAAGACAATCCTCCCCATGTTTCTTTAATAAAGGCAGAACTGGTAGTAGCCTATACAGAATTACATCAGCTTTCATTGGGGAACCTGACATGCAATTCATTACAATCTTGAGTATGTAATTACAATTCAGCTTCACTATAGTTGAGTATCTTTTTTCTTTTACTGATATATATTTACTCAACTTGTGTTGTTTCTAAAGTTTTTGCTTACCTTCTCAAACACTGCAGTGCTGGTTGGGCAGCTGGAAGGATCTTGGCATACACACATTGGAGTGTTGCTTTCATCTACTTCACAGACTTTGCCGTGTTTGCAGTGGTGGTTTTGGCAGGGGTCTAAGGAAAATCAGAGAAGCCACTTTAGAAACAAAAGAGGGCCAATGCTGCTTCACAAAAACTGAAGGACTAGTCACGACAAAACCATAGCCACCACACTCAGGCTTTAGCTGGCTCATCAGATGCAGGAGAGTCTCCTAAGAATGTTTATGCAGGAAATTCTGAGGTCCACTTAAGTTGTTTGCATTTATCACTGATTGGAACAACATGGAAACTACCGGAACCAATCGAAACCAATATGTGGTTGTCATGAATGGTGCAAATATTTCTGTGAGAATAGAATTTTATTGTCTCCCTGTATTTTCAAAAAAAGCATCTAACGTAGGATTCTCAAACTAAGATCCTCCAGAAGGTCCCAAGAATGTGAAGGGGTTGCACTTTTTTCTTAAAAAACAAAACAAAAACCTGATCAGACAAAACAAGAACAAACTCACTTCTAGCCTTGTTGTTTCCTTTGCCTGCAGAAACTCACAATGAGCAGTTGTGGTTCTACAAAGTTCGCAGAATTTCTGATTTAATGTATTTGTGAAGTTCTGGTTGAATGTGGTTCAAGTGTTTCTCATTTAATCAGTTAATAACATTCAACAAAAGATGAATTAAGCTATTTAAATGAAGTGTGGATTGGTCTCAGAAAGACAATATCCATCCTCAGTCAATTTCTTCCCCTCAAAATTCTTTAAAATATAAATGGGCAACCTGCACTGCTGTGGTGGCCTATCGTGAGTCCCTCCCACTCTTTCCCATAGCTAGTATCATCAGCTCCTTAGAAGGAAATGAACTGGTGGGAAAACGAAGTGATCTGGTAGTTTATCACCTAATTAATATGCTAAGATTAAGATTGGATTGGTGTTTTCCTGTTGCTAATGGGAGAAGATGATCAGCAATCTATAGTGAATTGCCAGGAGGAGAATACTTCATTGTTTCCCCTTTGACTCACTAGAAAGGAGAAGGAAATGGAAACCCCTTGCATGGTTTACTCTCTTTGCAATTAAATCATTTTGTTTTGCTCTGAGGAGGTGTAAAGAGACACATTGATTGCCCAATTTGGGACCTGAAATGCCATTCACAGTATAAGGGGAAAGGAACTCTTCCTAACCATCACCTGACTCTCTTGACACTCCAGATCTGATACAATAACCTGCCTGATTCTTTTCAGCCCCATATGAAAATTTATGCACTTCTTATGCACTCCAGTCTCAAGTTTACTTTGATCATGTTCTGCAAGGACCTAACTCTCTGGAGGAGAAGGCTCCAATGCTGGGAAAGGTGGGAGGCAAGAGAGCAAGGTAGATGGACTCAATTACAGTAGTGAAGGGTGCACTGTTGGAAGACCTGAGAAAACCAGGTTAGGGACAGACTGTCCTGGAGAAAAACTGAACCGTGCAGTCACTAAGAATCGTGTAATGAAATGAAATGAATGGAAATGTATGCACTTCAGTTCTCTGCTGTTCCAAAGGGGAATGTGCGTATGGGATTACAACATAAATGCTTCTAACTGCTTGACTGATGACAGATTGTGTGCCATCGTCCTTCTTGATATTTAGCAACCACATAGATTTTCTCTATGAATCTTCCCATATATGAGGAGAAAGCAAGCATCAAACCCTGTGTCTGTGTGAGAGACAAATGTTTTCTTTGTCAAACGATTCCCATTTGATTCTCATTCCCAATCAGACTAATAGTGAATGTAACACCACTGTGCAATCTAAAGAGGTATTCCTTTCCACTCCAAATGTGGCTTCTTTTTTGACAATGGAAAAATATGTCTTATTTATTTTTTCTTCTTGTACTGGTTTGAAGTTTTGCCCTCTAGGAATGGGCTTACTGCTTATGTCATGGTGACAGATGCCAGTTTTAGTTATCTTGATATCTTACGTGCATAAAATGTGTGTATCTGTTACAGATGCGTAGATCTTGCATATACACAAAATACTTTATATAAGTACATCTTAGGAATCTAGCTATGCAGCCACGTACTTTCAGCCACAATCTCCTCAACATCCACAGTGGTCTCTTCAAACTCGCCAATTTCCACCTGGACTGGGTTGATTCCAACTGGTTCCTAAATGAACAGATGCAATGAGATTAATTACAGTTAGGGTCTGACGGATAGATACTGTACCCAAGACTTGGAAGCCATCTTTATTTATTTATTCAATATGGATGCCACTTGCCTCTGAATGACTCTGAGCAGCTCGCAACAACAGAGTAATATAGAAATTGCAAAATACCAATCAAAAACAAAAGAAAACAAAAAAGTACCCCAAATTAATCTTTTGCAACTTGGAGCCTTCCTAAAGCTTTAGGCCAACCCCCGGCCCGTGGACCAGTACCGGTCCGTGGCATGCCAACAACTGGGCCGCACAAACAAGCAAAGCCCCATCCGGGACATGCAGGCAGTACACAAAACCACACCTCCTCCAGTCCGTGGAAAAACCTCTCTCCATGGAACTGGTCCCTGGTGCCCAAAAGGTTGGGGACCTCTGCTTTAGGCTACAGAATTCAAAACTAGCACTCTAAGAATTGAAGTGCAACACACTTAGAAGGTGCCAGGGTGAAGAATGCTGCCTTCTAGTATATTTAAAGTACCCACATGCAGACACACCCCTCACATTTACAAAAAGCACCAAAAGTTTAAGAAGCAAGGTATTATTTTAGGTCATAGCTGTTGGTGTTTTAAAAAAAAAAAAAACCGATTCCTGATGCCTCCTTTTACAGCTGACATGTTTATTTTTATTGCTGCTTCACTGGTTTTGTTGAGAGCCGCCTAATATTATGGCATATAAGATAGGTGACCATCTAAGTGTGACTAACTAATTTTTAAAAGCGGCTGCAAACAATTTGTTTACTCTATTTCTGATGTGTATTTCTTTACTTCTGACATTTATTTTATATTCTAACATTCTAGCATTTATATTCAGGCAAACCAAAACAGTGCCAACCATGTGCAAGAGGGATGTGTTAATAAGCTGGAGGGTAAAAATAATTTTTTTAAGGAAAAGAAAAAAAAACAAACGAGTGGAGAGGACCTAACCACAAAACAGCCGGGTCAAGGCTGAGCAGGTTTAGTGGCTATTGGCTCTGGAATTCTGATTGACTGGAAGGATAGATATAATCAACTGTGGGCAGGAAAGAAAAAAATAAGTATACTGAAAAAAAGGAATTGGTGTCTTAAGTAGATCTCTCAATAGGAGCACATCACCCTAAAAGAGTTTATTATGTTGGTATATGTGTGATATGTAGGTAGAAATGAGTGGAAGAAAGCAAAAGAGTTGCATTTAGGAAACCTGTAGCAGCCAGAGCAGAAATTATCTGCTGTTACCGTCTATCCTGAGAATTTAGAGCTATTTAATTCCCCATCCCACTCCTGGGGATGTTCCCATGAAAGAAGAGCATCAAAGAAGCTGGAGAGGGGGGGGGGGGAAGCCCTGTGTTACTCTGTACCTGTGTTGCAGGGTCCTCTATAACTTCCATCTCCTCCGGCAGAGCATCCTGCTGTAAGAGAGAGAGAGAGAGAGAGAGAGAGAGAGAGAGAGAGAGAGAGAGAGAGAAACAGGGAATTAAAGAACAATGACTTCTACCCGGAGTTCTCAAGTTTGTGCTAGAATTCTACTCCTACTGCTGGGATATCTCTTCTGCTTGTATACATCCCCCATGTTGCCCTCATCCCTCACTGAGCAGACACCATAAACATTTTAATCTGATTTCCTTTGCCACAATGAGAACCAAGGAGCCAAGTATTTCTTGGAGCACCTGACCCCTTATTTTGAAAGATGGAATTTCCTTACCTAATTCCTCTCTGGGAGGCAAAGCCCAAATTGAAGGCACTCAATTCTCCTTGGCCATAATGCACTCATATAAACAATACTAAGTATCCTTCATATTCTCTTGGTGATAAATGCACGCATTTATTTCTCAGGGGATTTCTTATCTCTGTTGTTTTTATACTGGTTATAATATTGGAGTTTATGGGATATTTTACTGTTCCATTAAATGATAAGGCTGCAAGTATAACTTGGAAAAACATTAAAATGTGACTTTGAAGTAGTCTGCTTATGGTATGGTTATGTTTGCTCTGCCTGTTCTGTTATATAATATCGGGTATGTCATGAGAAACATAATAAATTGAATGAAGATGGAATAGGTAAAAGGAAAAGAGAGGGGGTCAAGAATGAAGGTGATGAATTAATGTGGATCAAATGAGTGACTAGAATAGAAAGAATGAAGGACTCAGAATGACAGCAGAGGAAAGTGAAGACTAGGAAAGTCATGACTGGATAATGATGAAAGCTGATGAAACCATCAACAAGAGAAAGGTTAGAAATTTAAAGAAAACATAACAATTAATTGGCATATGGACTTGGTGGAAGCAAGAATGGTTTCTAAGGACAGAAAAATAAGTGGCATAGTCATAGTGAATGGCAGTAGTCTAAATTAGATTTAGCTATAATTCTTTTTCTTGCATCATGCCTTCAATGACTTTCACTTATTTCTTTTTTTACTTTGGAAGTGACCAGCTTTTAAAGTATAGGTATGTACTTATATATATATATATATATTGATATATATCTGATATATTTACTAAAGGAAAGAATCAATATATTGCTAGAATTGCTATGACTACCTTGCTAAAAGTTTATGTTTTGTCATGCATTGACAAAACTCCTTGATTGGTCCTGGGTGGACTAGACTACAAAGTGCATGAGATACAACTGGATAAAAATGAATCAGCAGAAGTTGGAAGCTTTGGTGGTTGGGTAGGAAGGTTGAGAGTGATCTTCAGTGCTGGACTATTTCTGAGCGCTCGGAACAGTGAGATGGGTTGGCGTGCTTACTTTCAAGTGTACTGTACAGTATGGAGAGTTTGACACTTCAGTATCTATAACATTCAGAAAATAGGGGGGGGGGTTAGGGCTAAAGATGATACTTACTGGAGTTGCCAGCGCCTTGCCTGCCAGGCAGAGGAAGAAAAAGATCCAGGCCCGCATCTTTCTTTGAAACCTGAGTTTACAGAGAAAAAAAGAACCATAGTTTATTTTGCAAGTTGGAGGGAAGTATGTACCTATTGTTTCCCTTATATTTCACAGTAATCAGTATTTTGAATCTGAATCTTTCATTTTTAATATCTGTACCCACTTCTTCCATAGAACTCAAGGCAATATACAGTATATGCCACAATGTCATATCCATTATATCATTGCATAAAAGATGAAAATTGGATAACATTATTGTGCATACAATGTCAGGTTGTTGTCCCCCCCATTGTTGCCATGATTTCCCATTATAATCATCATCTAAAGTGGTTTACAAGACAACCCGAACCACTAACTAGCCAACCCAGCATATTGTCCCAATCTGTGATTTGGAATGGTGATCCATTAAGGTGTTTCAGTGGTGCTTAAAGTGGTCAGAAAAATGAAAATAAAAATATTTCTTTATAATAGCAAAAATCCCAGGAAATTGTCACCTTTCATACCATTTTAATGTCAGGCATTGATATCTTGGGATATGCAGCAATTGTATGAGGTAGGAGTCTTTTTTTTTTAAACAATTACGTCATATTTTACTTATATCTGGGAATCCAACAATTGCATTTATTCACACCATAATTCCTGCACACCAAATTGCCAAACCCTCGTTTGGTCCAGATATTTTTTTTTTTTAAAAAGCCCACATTAAAAAAAAGGACTGAGAAATGCTCCACTATTATCCAACGATAAACCTTCCAGATCTTTCTGTTCCTAACTGAATCTCAACCATCTGAGGAAAGGTGGCAGATAATTGCTAATTCCAATGGAAATCTGAAGCACCCGTGCTATCAGAAAAAAAAATGCACTGGAATAAAGCTGCATTTGCATACTCAGTAATGCTTCTTGTTTACTGACCTATTAAGACTACCTTGGACTTCTTAGGCAGGCAATGGAAAATAAGTAGGAAGAACATAACTGCATTGATTCTCTTCCTCTACCCCAGAGGTGTCCAACATGAGCAACTTTAAGACCTGCGGACCACAATTCACCACAATTCCCCAGCCAGCCATGAAGAATTCTGGGAGTTGAAGTCCAGAAGTATGCTTTTTCCAGGAGTCAACATTCCCAATAAAAAGTTCCATTTCAGATCAAACAAATGCATAATATGAAAAACTGAAGTATGTGGCTTCCTATTCTTGGCTGTGTGTAAAATCCATGCATGTTGGTGGAAATCTGTATTATTATTCTTTTGCAATAATGGTATTCAAGCTTGCCCACTTTTGGTTTTTGCCAAAAAGAAATATTGAAAGAAAATCTTGAGAGATTAATTTTTTTGCTTATCTACAGTTGGCATTCTATTGTTGTGCTGGTTTCACCTACAGGCTACTAATATCAAGGCTTCATGCCTTGAACCTTGATCATTCTCTAGGGAATTGCTGGCAGAGAGATGCAATCCCTCCACATGGTGGTATTTGTTCCAAATCCAATTAACAAAATTTATTTTTTTCAATGTACATCTGTTGCAATGCAAAATGAGATAAGCTGGAAAGGAGGAATGTCTGTTTTGTCTACCACATAAGCAAGAGTCTGAATGGGCCCACTGTGACTCTATGGATGAACCTCGTGTGGTGAAACTGCTTTGATAATAATAATAATAAATACAAAAATGCTCATACAAGACACTTACAGGTCAAGGGCCAGCACCGGGCATTCTGTGCCAGACAATGTGCTGCAATACTTATAAATGCCTTTGCAAATTGCTTAGACAGTTATATTTGTTTCTGCTACCTGTAACAAGGTAATGCTAGTACAACTTTGTGCCACAACCTGTCTAGATATTGATTTATTTCACAATTTTGTGCCTACATTTAGAGCACAGTAATAACCAGAAGGCATGGTGTATAAATAGGTCCAAATAGAAATCATGTAGTGTGGTTGTCTCTATAACCCATCATAGATCCAGATTTTTTACAGGCAGGGGCAGCGAGTAGCTAAAGCAAAGTGTCTATTTCCCTTTTCCTTGGCTCCGCTTCAATGCATTCATTCCTCTTCTTACTCCTACCTATTTTACTCCCGGTTCAGTACATGGCGTCCCTTCCTCTTTCTCTCCTTTATTTGCTCTGGAGACTGTGGAAAGCATCTTTCATCATTGCCAAGACCTGAAGCTGAGGTCACTAGTTCTTCCCTTCCAAGGGCATTTTCGGGTGGAAAAGTACAGCTGAATCTGGCGGTTTCCCTCATCCCAGATTTATAAGGGCTTTTCTTATGCTCCAGGAAGCTTGGCATATTTGCCTTGCTTTCTAGCTGTATTTACAACCAAGGCAGGAGAGATCTATGAATGGGGAGCCAAGGGGGTGGATGTTCAGAAAACAGCACCCTTCAAGAAACAGTTGTCAATGCCGGGCTAAGATCTGTGCCGGGTCCGCCAATGCCAGAAAATACCAGGTTTCATAGCCTGGCATTGCGCTAGAAGTTTTGAGACCATCAGACAACACACCAGTCAATGCTCAGCCCTTCCACTTGTTGTGATTGGAGGTAGAAAGGCTGTCTGAGCAAATAAGTCCTGCGTAAACATCTGTCACCGGAGACAGGAAACACATTTATTTGAAAAACAAAATATAAAGAAAAGCCTCATCAACTAACTTATTTTTGAGAAAAAAACTGCATAGATATTTTGGCTGAGAGGTCTGGCTAGTGCTTTGCCATAAACCTGTGGAATACAATAGTGTACTTCTCCTGCTATGAGGGCTTGTGTCACAATCCTCATGCAGGTATCCATGAATGCTGCCCTTCAGTGCTAAATGCCTTTGTATTAATAGGGTTGCAAATTGGGACAGGGGGTTTGAAGCAAAATTCTGGGTTGCTATTGTGGGAGGAAATAATCCAGCTACCTGATATGAAACTCACCAGTTCACTTTTCCAGTTTCTCAGAGAAGTATTATATCAGGACCACTCTGGGAAATTAAAATGGGGGGACAATTGATGCTGTTCAAAGTACTAGGCTGGGAACAATAAAGAGTCTGCTGCAAATTTCCATTGTAGATTTTGCCCATTGTTAAGTGGAGTGCAAGTTTATTTCATAGTGATGATGATACCACCTTAAAAGGTTGTTCTCTTTCTGTGGCTGCTTAGGGCAACATAGATAGATTAGATGCAAGAAACCTTGTCTTTCATTAGCTGCAAATCTTGTCCATCTCTTTCTGTAATAACTGTGTTCCACTTAACAGAGGCCCTATTCTCTCTTCTCACTAAGCTCAGCATTATTTGCTTCTTTGGCACTAAGTAGATTGCCTCCTCTCTTTTTCTCTAGGGAAGAGTAAATTTCATTTCCCAGCTTTGAATGACTAAAATTCACTTCTCTGTCACCTCACTTGCTAATGTGTTATTTTTCTCCATTTTTCTCTCTCAAGATATATCATTTGCCTCCCCCATTAAAATAGAATCTCTTTCCCCCCTCTTCTTTTTGGATTAATTCCTAGTTTTAAAGTTGGCGTATCAACTTCGAAACCAAGCTTCAATATACAGAAAAAGTTGTGTGAACGGTTGGACTTCAGATTGTGCCCTGCCGTAGATTGTCAGAATAGCTATAATTGAACCATGTACCCTTTCTGTAGTCATCTAGGTTTTTATAACTTCATGTGGATCCGCTTTTGCCCTGACTGAAAACAAGTGTCTTTAGAGCATGGCTTTTCAACCTTTTCACCCACTGTACCACTTTTAGGATATGGCAATATCCAAGTACCACCAGTCGCCTAGCAAGGTGTCAAAAACTTGACCAAAAAAAAAAGGAAAAAAGTGATAAAGTACAGGTAGTCCTCAGCTTACAATAGTTCGCTTACTGACTGTTCGAAGATACAATGGCACTGAAAAAGTGCCCCCCAAGGCACAGCCGAGCAAGACACCTGCCTGCCCACCCAGTGGCGCTCTTCCTCCTGTCCGAGGTTTTCATTGTTGTGAGCATTTCTGTTGAGGATTGACAGCAGAGTGGGGTGGGGGGTGTTTGGTTTTTATTCCTCCCATCTGCTGGGTGGTTGCAGCAGATTTTGGTCACTTCACATGACCCTGGGACACTGTGACCGTCATAAATGCCAAGCATCTGAATGTAAATCACAAGACCCTGGAGACGCTGCAACATTCCAGCTGATTGCCGCTTCTTTTGGGCTCAGCAGAAGTGCCAGGATCAGCGCCGAGCTGCAGCTGGAGCCTGGCGCTGATCCTGACACTCCCGCTGAGCCCTGACAGCCCTGCAGCTCCAGCCATCTCTCGCTCAGGCTTGTGCGGTGCTGCTCATTCCCCTCCCCTGCTACCACTTTTTTAGGATGGTCGCGTACCACCTGCCAGGTGCCAATGTACCACAGGTGGTACCCGTACCACTGGTTGAAAAGCCCTGCTTTAGAGGATTGCTTAAGTAATAAGTGTGGTGCCATATCTAAGACCCCAAGCTATCCTCCATTTTCCATAGCCTTCATTTCAGTCTTTGACAGTTTGCATGAAAGAAATGTTTACCTAGGAACCGCCAGTTGAATCTCCTAAGCATCATTGTTATTTACCTGGGGTTAGGTAGATGATAATTATGATGAATTATCATGCTAATATAGAAGCTGGAGCATGTAGAGAATAATATTTATTTAACATCTGTGAGAGGGATCTTGGAGTCCTAATGGACAATCACTTAAATATGAGCCAGCAGTGTGCTGCAGCTGTCAAAATAGCCAATACAGTGCTAGGCTGCATTAACAGAGGGATAGAATCAAGATCACATGTAGTATTAATACCACTTTACAATACCTTGGTAAGGCCACACTCGAATCCAGTTTTGGTCAAAACGGTTTAAAAAAGATGTTGAGACTCTAGAAAGAGTACAGATAAGAACAACAAAGATGACTGGGGGATTTGAGGTAAAACATATAAGGAACGGTTGCTGGAATTGGGTATGTCTAGTTTAATGAAGAGAAGGACAAGGGAGGAACATGATAGCAGTGTTCCAATATCTCAGGGGTTGCCACAAAGAAGAGGGAGTCAAGGCTGTTC